CCCCCCCCCCAGCACCCACCAAATTATAATGGTAATTTTATTTTCAGCTATACAATAGCTGTGTGCGTATTCAAAAACCAGTGCTTAGTATCCGGATCCGTCCATGACATTTTGGCTTCCTGGATCCGCATCCAAGGGGCAAAATATCAACAATTATTAACCATATTAACTGTTGAAAACAGAGATATTATCAAAAATTCCCTTATCTCTGAATGGTTCATCAAGTTAAAGCATAAAAAAGGAGAAAAATAATTTGAAAATTTTTGTCGAGTAAAAAATCAGTAAATGTTCATGACCTGGATCCGGATCCGCATCAAAATTAAATGGATCCTAAGCACTGAAAAAAAAACAATTTCCAAAAAACTTCAAAGCATTTAACAGCCTCGGTGGAACATATAGATTTGGAAAACAAGCTCGGGATTCATTCACGTTTAGTTTGAACAACACTGTTTCTTGACGGCCTCCGTATTGACAGTTGGTCGGACGTTGATGGTCTCGAGGTTCGAGGCTCGGACAGTGTCGTCCTCTGTCCCGGGGGACAGGGCTGACTTCTGGGACACAATCCGGTAAATTTCTACACAAGGAGGACAAGTTAAAGACCTTTCATCGAGGACATGACGTATTTAAAAATTGTATTTAAAATAATAAGAGATAAAAAGGGAAATAAAATGAAAAAATATATTTTCAAACTTTTAAAATAATGCCTACCCAGTGTGGGGATAGTTTTAAGGATAATCAATTGGATATCAAATAACATTTTTTTGATTTCTTTATATTAATTGCCCAAATAATTTTTTCTTATTAAGAAGCTTTTCTTTAACTGTTTAGTCTACATTTACAATGAAAAATTGAATATAGGTAAAATCCACCATCCCCTCCCCATCGATTTTTTATTCTGTGTGGAACAGAACCTCCCAAATTGTACAGTAAATAACGGAATTTAAGGGTTTAACTTTTTTTTAATCAATATTGACTTTTCAGCAATTTTCATTAATATACAATTAAACATATTTTCAAGCAGAAAGCTAAAAATCGAGCATAATAAAAAACACTTGGGTGTAATTTCTGATCGTAGAAGGGATTTGAGGGCAGATTCAAATTTTAAAAACGGTCCTGACCAGTGCTTAGGATCCGAATTCGTTAGATCCGCAAGATTTTGGCTTCCTGGATCATGATCCGCAAAAAAAATGCGGATCCACGGATCCACCCCGATCCATGGGGCAAAATATCAACATAAAACTAAAAAAACTTTTACTCTATAAACCCAAATCTGAACTATTGCAAAAAAGAGATTATAAAAATTTCTGAATGGTTAATTAAGTTTTTCCAGTGCGGATCCCGGATCCGGATCCGCATGCACATCAAAATTTAATGGATTCTAAGCACTGGTCCTGGCTAGTGAATTGAATGGACGTCGCCATCAGACAGTGCGCAAATTCAATGAGAAAAATGCGCAGGCTAAGTTTGAACATCATTGCACTCTGACATATAAACATACATATGTAAACATACTTTAAGTAAGATGTTTAAATCATAAACCTACAGGGTATTTATTTTAATAAATATCCCCCCCCCCCAACTTCATACGGTTGAAGGAGGGGGAGGGAGAATAAAATATGGTTTATTTTTTTCTTTTGACACTGCCCCCCAAAAAAATAATTCACTATTTTGGGGTCAAAATTGTGCGATTAGTGGGAATCTTACTTAAATGTTGGCAAAACAAAAACTAAGTTAACTACCCTAGTACGTCACAACGAAGCGAGCACAAATCTCAAACAACGCTCAACCGATCACTCGAATTGCGTTTCACACAATTAGAAAACCCAACTGTTTTTGTCCGAAAGATAGAAAGAGAAGAATATAGCTAAAGAAGAACAAAAAAAATAATAGAAGAAAAGAAATTAATGATAAAACACCGAAAATTAAGCGATTTATGAGAATGAAATTTTTCTGGAGATATATCTATAAAATAGAGAAACATAAAAAGAAATAATACTATATTGTGAAGAAATTGTTATAAAAAGAAATGCCTGAAAAAAAAAACTAAGAAAATAGTAAACAAAATGGTTAAAAAATGTTACACATATAACAAATATATATATATTATATTCTAAAAAAAATACTAACCTGTGAGAATATTATGAAAAGCTGTCTCTACGTTGGTTGAATCCAAGGCGGAGGTCTCGATGAAACTAAAAAATATATCAAATACTGGATTAGCAAGCAAGCCTATTCGTACACTTAGAACATAACATAGAGCAGTGATGTTGCGGATTTTTTATTCATATGGAGGATTTCCAACCTTCAAAACTGATAATTTCTTATTTTATTTATTATGGCAACACTAAAACAACGAATGGAGTCAGACATCACGCCCGTCAGCACCTTCCTAGCTGAATGATACCAGGTCACCACCATTAACCGTCCCTTGGGTAATATGAGTTTTCACATAAAAATTACGTTTAATTTTCTCCATTTTACTTAAAATAACCTTTTCAACGAAACTGAAAAAAGTTGGGGGGAAGTAAACTTATTTTAAGTCACCAAGTTCTTAGCAACAAGGAAGATTTCAGGGTGTATTTTTTTTAACAATACTTGCTGATGATCTAGGGAAGAAAAAATAAAAATTGGACATCAAAAGGCAAGTTTTTTAGTCATCGATATTGATTGATTTAATTTCCTTTAAAAACCGTGAACCCAATTCAGCGAATAAAATCCGAACAACATATCTTAAGAGGAAAATAAATGATTTTCTAAGGGGGGGGNAATTACACACCCTCGGAAGATTTATTAGCGCTTACAAATGGACCGGGAGGATCAATTAAATCCTTTTTAAGTAAAAAAATGTCCAGTACCTGAGGTTGTTCTTCTCCGCGAAAGCTTTGGCTTCATCTGTAGGAACAGCGCGTAGATGCCGTAGATCTGATTTATTTCCCACCTTAACAAACATGAACAGTAGAAATCTGAAATCATGAACAGAGAATCCATCTTTTAAATTATTCATACGTACATGCATTATTACTATCAAAAGAATCACAAAAAAACTTCTAATGCAGATTTATCATGTTAACCACTGTAACTCCTTGGAGTAATCCCCCCCAAAAAATAAAAATCTGAGGTCAGTGTAGTTTTATTGTTGACTGTAATTGTCATTCTAATAAGAAGTTTTCTCAGAATTAAATATTCCGTGATAAACTATGACACAGCAGGTTACTCATGATATGTTAAACGACCACTCGACTTAAGATAAGAATACCTTTAAGCACTAAATATAAAACTGTGATTTACTATCTGAAAAAGAAAACCCCAACATGCAAATAAAAATGGCAGGGATTGATATTTTCACTAAGTTTAAATGGCGCCCGAGCCCTGTAATCTACAGGGTGTCACACGTCATATTATATAGATCGTTTATATAGCTCAAGACCAGAAAATTTATAAAGAATGAAAAATAAAAAAAATTCTATAAGGTTATTATAAAAATGTGCATGCAGAAAGTACTAGGTTTTTCAAGTATTATGTACGTATTTTGACGTTAAAGCTTCGAGATGATCCAATATAATATGGGACGCTATGTAGTAATCTCACCTTGTGTTTGCTCATTTCTATTTCTAGTCTTCTTTTAGATTTTGTGTTTAAAAAATGCGATTTTTTTGCTATAATTAGTATATTTTACTTTATACTTTTAAAAACTCGAAAAAAAATCCAACCGCCACACTTTTAATTCTCTAGTGTCTACAAAACGTACCAACATGATAACTATGTTTGCATCTGCATGATCTCTCAACTCCCTCAACCATCGTTCAACATTCTCATAGGTCAGGTGCTTAGCTATATCATACACTAACAGGGCACCAACTGCACCACGGTAATACCTAGCAAATCAACAAATCAATCAATCAAATCTATCAACTAATCAATCAATTGATAATAAATAATATCAAGGGTATGATTTGTTGAAATTATCATATTGAAGAAATATAGGCAAGTTCGTTTCGTACTTTTTACACTTTCTGAACTTCCATTCCTAGTAAATGATCTAGCTTTCAAATTTTGCTTTTAAAGTTGCCATTATTTCTTCGTGATTGAATAACACTGAACTGCCTGACTTTCTATTATTGATTTCCAACATTTTTAAAACATTTTTTAAACTTTAGCTGACTATAATCCTTTCCTGGGGTAATACGAGTTGCAACAAAAAAAAATTGGGCCCGATCGGTTTAGCCGTTTTGACGTCTACAGGATAAAAAAACAAGCCATATATATTAGATGCATGATTTCATTGACAAAATTGGTTAATTATTTAACAAATAGCGCGGACAGTCTCACATAACTACGGGAAATTAACAGTCAAATAATCTACAAGTTTAAAAACTCTAACGTTCAAGAAAACTTACGCTGAAGTGATTGCTCTGTATCTCTCTTGTCCAGCGGTATCCCAGATCTGAGCTTTTATCGTTTTCCCATCAACCTAAATATATAAATGTTTTAAAATTAATTTATGAATTTTAATTTTTTTTAAATTTTAAAATAAAGCAGTGAATTTATTCTTAGACTATTGGTATCTTCTTAAATAGCTGATAATACGTCTGTTTTCTGTTCCTCTTTTGTAGATCTTCCCATTAAAGTCCCTTGTAGGGGAAAAATGGGCCCCCCCCCCCCCCTCCAAATATTGCGCATATTGCCCAGAGCTGCAACTATCTTTCTTGCAATTTTCTTTTTCATACTATTCTATTCTTTAATTTAATATCTAAGTGCCATAAATATCAAACTAGAAAGTAAATATATTAACCTAAATATATAAATATATTTTTCCATTAACCTAAATATATAAATATATTTTGCCACTAACCTAGATATATAAATATATTGTCACATCAATCTAAATATACAATATATTCATATCAACCTTAACATATAAATATATTTTCCCATCAACCTAAATAGGTAAATATATTGTAACATCAACCTAAATATACAAATATATTCATATCAACCTAAATATACAAATATATTCATGTCAACCTAAATATACAAATATATTCATATCAACCTTAACATATAGATATATTTTCCCATCAACCTAAATATTAAATATATTTTCCCATCAACCTAAATATATAAATATATATTTTCCACTAACCTAAACATATAAATATATTTTCCCATCAACCTAATTATATAAATGTATTTTCCCATCAACCTAAATATATGAATATATTTTCCTATCAACCTAAAAATATAAATATATTTTCCCATCAACCTGGGTATATAAATATATTTTCCCATCAACCTAAGTATATAAATATATTTTCCCATCAACCTAAATATATAATAAAAATGTAACATCAACCTAAATATACAAATATATTCATAACAACCTAACCATATAAATATATTTTCCCATCAACCTAAATATATAAATATATTTTCCCATCAACCTAAACATATAGATATATTTTCCCATCAACCTAAATATATGAATATATTTTCCTATAAACCTAAAAATATAAATATATTTTTCCACTAACCTAAATACATATACAAGTATATTTACCCACTAACCTAAATATTTAAATATATAAATATTTTTCCCATCAACTTAAATATATAAATATGCTTTTAAATCAAACTAATTATATAAATATATTTTCCCATCAACCTTAAACACGTTAATATATTTTCCCATCAAACTAAACATATTCTCCCATCAGTCCAAATATATAAATTCTAAAATTTGGTATTTGCCGAGAGAACGCTTAGTCCTCCGGGTCTGTCCTAGAGTTTTAGGGTTAGGTTAGGTTTAGACTATTTCTGGGCCGAGCGCTGCGACTAGGATGGGCTAGGGGGCCTAGTACCGCGGCTAGGACAGGCTAGGGGGCCGGGCGCTGCGGCCACATGATCTATTATGTACATGTGATACACATGAGATCAAATATACAAAATGAAGTTGGATTTTAATCTTTGCTTGACTAAGCTAGCAATGAAGCATTTTATTGAACATCCGGTGAACAACAAATAATTCAAGATATTTACTTTTGCATTACAAAAAAATAATTTAAAGGCCTCTAGATTTGAAACTGAACTAATTAGAAATCTTTTAGAAAATTGTTCACTGCAAAGGGCGGTGAGTTAGGGAAATACCAGGGGTACAAAAATTTTTATTAGTTTTTTACTTTTAATCCAAAAATATGTCCCTGAAAATCATTTTATTTCCTCAATTCAAAGTAAAAACTTTGCACAGAGGTAAAAATTTTATGTTAGAAATAGCACTTTTTTAAAATGCTTGATATCCACTTCACAAGATACAGAGCTTGATCCCAGAGTTTGAGAAAAAAAATGTTGACCTTAGCTTGGAGAGAAATACTAATAATAACAAAAAATGAGAAGTTTAAAAACTTCTGGTTCAATTCTTAGAAATATGATTTATAACAAATCTGACTGGATTCAAATTACATTCACTTGACATTTCAAACTTTATGATCCATCCATATTGAATCAATTCTTAGAAGATTTTCCCTCTAGTTCACAACCCCCCCCCCCCCCCCCCCCCACCATCAAAACTACCTTTGAGCATAACGCCAACCGTTTCCATCAACACTACCTTAGAGCATAACCTCCCCTCTCCCCCAACGATACCTTGAGACATACCCCTCCCCCTCCCTTATCAACTTCGAGTATAATCCCCTCCCCTAACCTGAATAGATCTTGTGGCGAACTCTACTCCGATGGTAGATTTTGATTCCAGATTGAACTCGTTCCTTGTAAACCTGGAGAGCAGGTTGGATTTACCCACTCCGGAGTCTCCAATCAACACAACTAAACATTTAAAAATTTTAAACTTTCTAATCGAAAAATTAAGGATATTTCGAGATTTAAGAGTCTGTATGTGTAATTTCAATTGACCCTCTATGAAAAAAAATAAAATGACAATGTCTGATTTGTGATGAATATAGTGCAAGATATTGCCGCTTTTCTAGGTTTGAAAGCATTCTACTCTGACACTTCATTTACTTTTCCTGCTATAGAAATTTTGTAACCGAAAAATATTATGTTAGAACATGACATACAGCCTTAGGAACTTGTGATATATGGTTAAGAAGTTTAAGAGTAATATTAGAAACTCAAGATACAGTGTCAGGAACATATAGATAATATTAGGAAATGGGATAAAGTGATAGGAACTAGAGACATGGTAGTATACGATTTTTGGACCCCCCCCCCCTCCTATCAATTTTGTACATGGAAGTTTCTCAACTTGACCTAACCCGTGGCCGCAGCGCTCGGCCCCCTACCCCATCCTAGCCGCAGCGCTCGGCCCAGAAAGTATCTTAACCTAACCTAACCCTAAATAACAAAAAAATAAATAATAAATTTGCTGAAAAATTAATGGTCATGTACAAATTTGATAGGAGGGGGGGGGCCTGGAGGGGGTCCAAAAATCGTATACTAGGACAGACCCGGAACTAGCGACATGGTGTTAGGAACTATTGAGATTAACCCTGCTAAAATTTAGTCTCCGACAAACCGATGGCGAACACTAAGTCCAGAATTATTTACCCGACGGCACATAAAGTAGGTAAAAAAGTTTTCTGGGAAATAAATACAAACAGAAGGCACTTCTATTTTACAATCCAATATCGCAAGGAAAGCTCTGTGTGTATTTACCTTTGAATAAATAATCGTATTCATCATCCCTGGCCCCCATTTTCAGATTATCTAAACAATAAATACTTGAACATTTCAAAAAAGGTTAACTTATTATCACATTTCCAGGGCGTGTTAATCCTAGGCTTCATAATTAATCGATTATGAATTTTCATTTTAAATGTGTCACAGAATTATAGCGCAGATAATTTGGCAAACATAAAAAGTTCCGTCAAGAAATTCCACCTTTCACTAAATTGACAACCTCAAAATGGCCGAGCCTGAACGCCCATGTGACGTCATGATCCTAAACAGATCACCCAATCAGAGATCTTCATATTTCTAGCAACCAATGGAAATACAGGAATTAAATATGTTTCAACCAATCATAGAACAGATCTAGTTAAACTTCATCAGAAACCGGTTCCATGTGCAATGTACTTGGAATAGTGTCATATCAATAGAACTAATGCAAGCTCGATTAAACTAACGTTGAAGAGTAAGTTCCAAAAGAAAAAACCGAATAACAGAACTTTTTTTAGTTTAACTAATATTAAATTAAATCTTTAAAATTGGTTAATCAGCGTCCAATCGATATAGCATTCGGAGAACTAATGTCATCAGCTGATTACATCACGTGACTCACTTTACACATCATCAAAACATTGAAGAAAAAAGTGAACAAGTTTTATTTCCCGGTGATAAAGAGATATTGATTGAATTCGACAACAAAGATCCATTTTGATTCTTTGAAGCGTATTTCGAAATGATTATAAATTTTTTCAGAAAATAAATTAAAAAATTACAAACAAACAAATGAGAAATTTGAACATTGTCCAGAAGGATAAGTATACAGAGAATTAAACAATGCAGGGTTCAGTTTCACAGGACAAACTGGTGCTGTTCGATTCGTTAGGCAACCGTTCACATACTTTTATCTTCAGCCAAAATATCGTTCTCTAGAAATAATGCCATAATGTTAGTTGCCATATTAAAGTGGACCCGATCGGTTCAGCCATTTGGTATTTGCCGAGAGAACGCTTAGTCCTCCGGGTCTGTCCTAGAGTTTTAGGGTTAGGTTAGGTTTAGACTATTTCTGGGCCGAGCGCTGCGACAAAGGAGCTTTCTTTCTGACAGCCCAGCTAATATAGATATATGTGATTATGTTTACTTATGAGATATAAACATTATTAATAATTTCAATTAATCATCAGTCTTTGAATATTTATCTGTAAACCCGGGAGATATTAACTATTGAATGTTGTTAAAATACCACGTAAAAAAGTGTGAACTGTGAACGGTTATGTAGAGGATGATGAACCTGTTCTTGAAGGAAATATATCCGTTCCAGGAACAGCAGGAGAACCTAATGGAGCAGGTTTGTTCAAGGGAAGCCGGTCCAGGGAATGTGTCCCAGGGGGCATGGGGTCCAGTGTAGGGGGTCCCAGGGAGGAGTTAATATTGTTATTCGAAATCTTGTTAAATAAAACGAGTGAATTGTATAATAGGTAGTTTTAACAAGGAATTAATGTATAAAAGATAATGGTAACTAATCATGTTTTCTGTAAGGGTTTTCAAACTTCCAACCGGTTTTTTTCCAAGCTAACATTGTAACTTTAAGAACCAAAATGCGAGACATTTTTAAACAAAAATAACTGTGGGGAAAAAAAACGTCTATAATTATTTACATTTCTCAATATAATTATTTGTGAATTTCTTAAAATCAATACTATTATTTTTCAGGAGACCTAGAATTTAATACATTAGATGAACCTATTAGTCAAACAATCAGGAAATTTAATCTTAACATATTTAATTGTTTGATTCATGTCCCACACACACCACCCACTCTAGGTGTGCTTAGTATCCAGATCGTATCAAATCCGCAACAGTGATTTTAGCTCCATGAAATCGGATCTGCAAAATCATGCGGATCCACGGATCAAGATCAAATCAACTAAAACATCGAAACAAGTACTTATCGGTCTAAAAACACACATTTTGACTGTTAACTAATGAGCTAGATATCATTAAAACACAGCAATATCAAAAGGATTAGGATCCGCATCAAAATGAAATAAATCCTAAGCATTGCTGGAAAAAAGGCCTATGCAGTAAACATGAAAAAATATTTTTCTTTAATTTCTCGAAAGCATCTCTTTCCCAAATAAAATCGCATTATTTTTTATTATTTTTTTTACATTACAAATCAAGAAAGATTTCAGATACATCCTAATTATCAAATAAACATCAGAAACCCCTTTCTCCCTTCGTCATCCTTACCGGTCAGCTTCTTTAAATAATAAATATGTCAAGAATTTGAAAATTAGGCGAGATTTATCTGCCGTAGGATCCAAGTTTTTCCACGTTTTATATCCAGGTATGAGACATTTTTATATCCAGGTATTAGATAGTTTATATCCAGGTATGAGACATTTTCATATCCAGGTATTAGATAGTTTTATATACAGGTATTTGACAGTTATAAATTCAGGTATTAGATAGCTTTATAGCCAGGTATGAGACGTTTTCATATCCAGGTATAAGATAGCTATCCAGGTACTAGACTTTTTTATATCCAGGTATTAGATAGTTTTATATCCAGGTATTAGATAATTTTATATTCAGGTATTAGATAGTTTTAAATCCAGGTATAAGATAATTTTATATCCAGGTATAAGATAGCTATCCAGGTAATAGATAGCTATCCAGGTATTAGATAGTTTTATATCCAGGTATTAGATAGTTTTATATCCAGGTATTAGATAGTTTTACATCCAGGTATCCGACAGATTTATATCCAGGTATTAGTCAATTTATTTCCAGGATTTAAACATATTTTTTGCGAACTATTTTTTGTTCTTTGAGATTGTTGTCATTTTTCAAGCATTGAAGCATTTTTGAAGTTTTTGTTGGAATTAATAGTTTATTGACGAATCAGTATAAAAACAATAACATCTGTTGCTTAAAGTATAATTATCATTACAGGAGTTGAACAAATGTTCACTTACACGAAGAAAAAGAGGTGTATATTTTTTTTTGGGGGGGGGGGGTTATTTAAAGATCTGGGCAGAAAAATTTAAAATTGGACATCTAAAGGCTAATGTTTTCTTTCTTTTTCTTACTTTTTACCCATACATGCCTAAATTTTTTGGGGGTAAATTATAAAGAGGGGTGGAGTGATTTTTAAAGAAAATACACACCTCTGAAAAAGGACATATTTACAAATCTCTGATATTTACTGTATCCTAATAAAAGTAGAATTATGGAGAGAAAGATTGTTGGTTGTTTTCTCAAGTTCACTTGAACTCACATAGATTGTAAACAAGGTTCGGTCTTATGCAGATTAGGAGGACCTGGCCTGATATTTGTTTACAATAAAACTAGATATAAAATCTTAACAACCCCTTTCCTTAGTTCTATAACTCATTTATCGGTCCTTATTTATTTTGTTTAAGTTGAGAAGAAAAGTTTATTAAAAGAATGGGATCTCTGGGGGCCTCTCATCCTTTGTACCTTCATGGCGACAGTGCTACAGGTATAGTCTTCGCCCTTGACATCCGGTTTGTGTTTACATTACCGCCCAGAGACAGTACACTGCAGTACAAAAGATGCGTACACCTCTGAAATAACTTTCCTTGCATTATAACTTTGCACCTCATTAATATTCAGAATTTTTTTTTCAAATGTTTGTCTTGTGTATGTTTTCATAAAAGATAGAATTTTGTCAACTTCCCTTAATGTTCCTGCAGCATAAACTTAAAGTCACATTAATAGAGAAACCACATTAATAGAGAAACCACATTAATAGAGAAACCACATTAATAGAGAAACCACATTAATAGAGAAATCACACACAAAAATCTGATTAAACGATATTTTAATCATCTTCGACCTGTGTAAGGTAAAAATGGTTAAAAGGTACCGTTGTCAATCTGACAGAATTTTTTTTTAATTACCTCAAACGAATTTTTTTTAATGTTAGAAATCCGCAAAATTTTTAATTGTTATTATTTCAATATTAACAAAAGGCTTGCAGAAAGATTAAGATTAATACCAGAAAGATGTATTTTTAGTAGTAATAAATGTCAGAAATTTTATATTTTGATAAACAGGGGCATGATACTGATGGAGGGGGAGGCGGGGATGGTGGACCTGAATTTGCAGAGGTAATAGATATTAATAAACCTACTTAATCCTTTTTTATTCAATAATTGAATTCTAACTACATTTGATGTAAAACCATAAAATGTCTGATACGTCGAACGGACTATTTAATATGATCTTCGGAATAAGGACACTAAATAAACTTTTTTCGCTCATAGATTTCCCAGAATAGTTAAACTTTTTGTCGATATTAATTGAAATCGAATAATTTTATTAAATTTACCAAATCCTATATTTTTTTAGCCCCGCAGTCCGAACATCCGATCATTGTGATTTTAATTTCATTATGATCGGATAACAATTAAGCCTGTGAGAGAAAAAAGTGTTAGGTTTTTACTAAACCCTCTAGATATCCCAGAATATTCTTAAACTTTTTGTCGATAAAGAAATTATAAAAATATTTTCGTGAAATTTTCGCATTTTCGCGAAAACAAATTTCGCAAAAATTCGCTTCGTTTTCGCTTCATTTAATTTCGCGAAAAAAATGCGAAATTTCGCGAAAAAGTTTGCGAAATGCGACCGAAAATTTTCGCATTTTTTTCGCGAAACGTTTTGTTCGCTAGAAACCCTAGTTCAGACTTCAGATGTTAACTATCTTTACTGGTTAGACGTTCTAGTTGTTATGTTTGTTCCTTATGTTCTATATTCAGTGTTCAGATGTTCAATGTAAATAATGTTTAGGTGTTTGTGATAGTGTGGGTTGGATCTCTGATAGTAACTTTAAACACTAAGCTGGTTGGAGGGAATATTTCATTCTTCCAGAGTGTTTGCGTACTTGGTAAGAATCCGTTTTTAACCCCACCCCCCACCCCCCTCCTACAATACATTCTTGAAGATTTTAAAGGAAAAATAAAAAAATAGATGACAAATGGGACTCTTTGTTTTAAATAAATATATAAAATATGATAAATCAAGGGAAATAATTTTTATATTTTTCCACTTGTTCTAGTTTTTTTCTAAGCATTTTCACCAAGAAAAAAAATCCCTATTTCTTATTCAGGACAATATTTGCTAGCTTTGGCTAAACCAAACAAAATAAAAATTTGTCTTTTTCAACTCTAATTTTTAAGGATACTGTTTGTTACCGCTGGCGATATCGCTGTTTGTTTGCCGGATAGTTCTGTTGATATCAGACGGAACTGCAGTTTTAATTGTTCGCTCCATCGCCGTTCTCTTAGGTAATTATTTTAAACCCTTATCAGGGAAGTACGTAGGTATAAGTCTGGAGGGCAGATAGATAGGTAGGTAAGTAAGTAGGTGGTTAGGTGGGTTGGTAGGTAGGTAGGTGGGTAGGAAGGAACATTAAAAAATGTCCTACTAATCTACAGGGGGTACCTCCAACGAGGTTATAGGGTATACGCTAATACTTTACTAATTTTATAGGCCATAAACTATACTGAGAGCGTACTGCATATTTGTTGTTTTTTTTAATTTAATTCTGGCCTAACCTACAGTATATCAATATTAGTAAACAGTTGTAAGTGTACAGTACAGCTAACTGAGCACACAGGTAGAGAACTTTCATCCCTCCTCGGTACCTCTAACCATCGCTGGTTGTTATGAATTAAAGACCCTTTTGTGAGCGGATGATACATATTTAATTGATTAACAATTCACAAAACGAAAAAAAATATTTCATGTTTTAAAAAAAAGTAAATAAAAAAATAAAAAGTATGGAAAATAGATTGAGAATTTAGAAAAGAACAAGGGGGGGGCGTACAACAGCATATTTAGTAGAAGAAGAAAATCTGACGCGGAAAGGGAGAAAACTGTTTAATTTAAGAATGCCGTCTTAATATCTTTTTTTCCCTTCCGGCACTCTAAAGCAATTAAAATCAGTTCACCGTTCTTAAACAGACTTCTCAAATTTTTTTTGTGAGCATAATTAAAGTTTTTTTCTCATTCCACTTCCACTCTTTAAGTTTTGAGATTTCCCCATGTTGGTTATCGAACTAAAACTGAGACAATATTTGCATTTATTGTATCGCGCCCATCTTCTTTTTCAACTTTTAATGGTGGCTTTATCTGTGAGCATCTTCTCTTTGAACAGTATAAAATAAAATTAAAAAATTTGTGGATTTCATAATATTTTTTCGCGCATTTTAAAAATTTTACAAAATTGAATAATTTAAGATAAAAATATTTTTAGATTACATATTTAAAGACTGATTGGTCATAAACCTTTCCTGGGGCCACGTGAGGTCCCACACAAAATTTGGTTCAGCTTTTTTGACGTTTATTGGATACAAACAAACAGACATACAAACAGACAGACAAGCCAAATTTATATATAGATTATATTAGATCAACATATCTTCTATCTCTGCCAGTTTTTATATTCTAAGAGGCGGGAAACCATTTTAAAAAGCTCATAAGACGCTTAGCGGCTCAACCGTTTTTTGTGTTTATTGATAATTTAAAACCCTCTCAATATTCCCAAGGTTATGTCGTTATCAACTTTTCAACTGACCTGTATCATCAAGTATGAATAAAATAAGCATGTTAATAAGTTTAAAAATGGATGATTTTATTATGGCGTTTCTTTATAAATGTCACTTGTGAATAGTGGTGAAGGTATATATCAGAATTAAACACTTCCCAAACTAGAAAATTTAAATTTAAATCAGCTTTCACTTTAGTGATCATATAAAATTTAAATGAATCGGGCCTAATCCTCTAAAAAGGATCATTTGAAACAGTTCAACAAAGAATTTTTTTTGTAACATTTTGTTTTTCATTTCAACGTTAGAAAATCTATTTTTTATTTATTTAGGATTTATTTGGTCAACCTATGCTTCTATGAAGTTCCTAGGAGATTGCAGTCCAACAAACAAAAAGGTTGTTTTAAAAATCAATAATATTTAACAAAGGGTCTATATTTTTAAGATCCCCCCCCCCCATCTAGGGATAAAATGCCAAAATCTAAGCTATTTCTATAGTAACATTGTATTGTAATGTAATTGCTTGATATTTAATGTTCAGAAAAGCAAAAATAAGTTTTTACAAATAATACAGTAATATTAATGTTAAGCTTTAAGGTATAAACAATGTTTAACCACAGTGATAACCAGAAAACTCTGGACTAGGAAGACGACTTTTAAACTCAAGATATGATTTTAAATACTCAAATAAGAATGAGACACAGTAATTGTGCAGTGTAAATATACCCATTTTATTTAATTAGTGGTTTAATAAATGTCTAGTAAAACTTTTTGCTTAATAACAACATCGAATGCACTTAAGTGTTGCTAAAAAGTCGTCTTCCTTCCTATTTCGGAGTTTTCTGGTTATCACTGTATGGTTTTATTTCTAATTAAAAAATTACGTAGTTAATAAAAATATTAATATTTATTATTTACAGTTGATGTCAATGTATCCGATGCTGTTGTTCTACATTGTTATTGCTTGGATGGTGATATCACATTCAAACTAAGCTAACAACATCATAACAACATCAGGACAACAACAAAATTGGCAAAATATCAACCGCATTTTTACCCACCGCAAACTGTTGCTATCACCTCAAAATTTGTTTATTACTTTTTTGAATACTTGATTTTTGCCAAATATCTTCCAATAAAAGTAGTTAACACGTTTAAATGTTTTTAGGGACCCCATGGATTTGATCTGGTGGGGGGCTTATCAGGGAAGTACGGAATTATAAAGTTTTATATCCAGGTATTAGATAGTTTTATATCCAGGTATTAGATAGTTTTATATCCAGGTATTAGATAGTTTTATATCCAGGTATTAGATAGCTATCTAGGTATTAGACTGTTTTATATCTAGGTATTAGACTGTTTTATATCTAGGTATTAGAAATAAAGGCAACTTATTACAACACCAAATGTTTTTGATTTATTTTGATTTATTTTCAGTCCAATCCCGGAAGATGTTTATTTTCCTACTTTTCTATGATATTAGGGGCGTTTTCAAGTTTGTTTGTGATTTGTCAGTGTACTGCACGTTGTGATAATTATTACCTGTTTTGTAAATAAAGAATACTATTTTCAGTTTCCAATTTCTAAGGTCTAGTTGGATAACGTTTTCTTTTCTTTCTCTCTCCATCTAGTCATTTTAAGAAGACTGAAGCCGTAATTTCAAGTGATCCTCCGTTTATTGAGTGACGGGTCCGATTCACAACCGTAAACCTTCCCCCCCCCCTCTAGGAGCTCCAAGGGGTGTCAGATTCACAACCGTACACTTTAAACCTTTGTCTGATATTCATGTTAAAAATTGAGTTCTGGGGAACTCTGGTGTTACAGAAAAAAAATTCGAGGGGGAGACAAATTTGCGCGAAGTGAAAAAAAATTTCCCCTTCCCCCCTAAGAGTTCCAAAGGGGTGGGGGGAAATTCAAAACATTTGGCTTCTCGGATATCAGGCATAAGTATAAAATACTTTAATGGTACACATACAGTCCAATTACCTGGCAAGTACTACTTTTAAAAAAACTAGCGGAAAAAAATATGTTTCTAAAAAATCGGCATTTTATTATTTTTTTTTTTTTTGTATTTAATCTTGATAAAGTAAAACGCATATTTGAAACTGAACAAAAACTCAAATTAATTAAATTCTATGAGATGAAAAAAAGGTCCAGAAAATAATTATGACTTGTAAAAGTTTATGTTGTGCAAAAAAGTATGAGTACACTTGTAATCTATATATTAAAGCATTTAGTTCATTTATATATGTGTGATAACTCTGAGTCTAGGAGATTCTCAGAAGCATATGACCAGGGAAAGGTTTAAAGGGTCAAGTTTGGAATCTGACTTGTCAAATGTACAAATAGATGGTTTAAATTATTCATCCCCGTTCCTCTCCTAGGAGAATAAAGAAACAGGGAAGAAGGGAAGTTTATTTAAATCATTAAATAGGCCATTAAATGATTATATATCGGCAGGGTGTCCCATGAAACATGATAGGTGGTGAAAAGTTTTAATGTCTTCTTCCATAGTGTGTTAAGTTGTTTAATCAGGGGGCGGAAACGTCATGTGTGTGTGTCTGTACCAAAAGAGTGTGTGTCAGTTTACCGAACCGAAGGTGTGTACTGTAGGTTTATACAGTACGTAAGAATCTCGGTATTTGTACAGTCTAGGAGGAGGGAGGGAAGGCCAAGCAGCCATGAACCCCGTGGAAAAGTCTCCGAAACCCTGCAGAAACAGTCTCCGAACCCCGTGGAAAATCTCCGAACCCTGTAAGGAGCAAAAAATGTGTTATTCTGGGGGAAATCGCATGATTTTTGAATTTTTTTCAACATATGGCACAGGATCAAACAAAAGTATTACTAATAAATGCAATTTTGATCTTATTCACGGCCCTAGTATATGTTTATTTTGTATTCCTGTTTTAAGCTTAAACTTTAAAATGGACCTACGCAACAACGCACAATGTTTTTAGTATTTCAATGATATTTTTCATGAAAATGCAATAACATGTTTTAACGTAGTCCACCACTTTTTTAATTCCCGTCATCAAAGGGCAGTTTTACTCCATAATATCATTTTTTACTGTCTCCCCTTTAAAAGTGACCTACGCTGTAATTATTANAACCAAAGATTTTTCAGATCCAGGAGGGGGATAGAGCCCCCGTAGCCCCCCCCCATGTATACTACTATTAAACTTAATTTTCTATTTTAACCAATGACCTTTTAATTCAAAACAGGAAATAAAAGGTAACAAACATAATTCTATGAATAGTGTCATACTTGAGATCCACCTTTTTTACGGGAAAACAAAATTTGGAGAAAAAGACAATTAAAACAATAATGAAAATTATTTCTTTAACTTGATTATTATATTTATTGAGTCCATATGTCGAGAAGATTGGAAAATTATTGCTAATTTACAAGTAATATTTATATTTGATAACGTTTTTTTCAAAAAACCTCCTCCACGGGGTTCGGAGACTCTCCACGGGGTTCGGAGACCATTCCACAGGGTTCGGAGATTTTCCACGGGGTTCATGGCTTCTTGGCCTTCCCTCCCTACTAGGAGAGTACATTTGTTTATTGTTAATTGTTTACTTAGAAATAAGTTTATATTTAAGTCAACACTATAAAGCCAAATTGTCATGCAAAGAATATAATTTGATTAAAGTTTTCAATAAACTACTCGATATTCAAGTTTAATTATAATCGACGACATTGTTCTACAATTTCCTTGACTGTAGTCATGTTGTGTGTCTGTACCAGAAGAGTGTGTGTTAGTTTAAAGTACTGGTCTGCAAAGCAGTGCGCATGACTTTCTCATGCCAGACCAGCGCCATTTCCTTTGCTTTTATTCCTATTCCCTGGTTTAAACCCAAAGAGAATAATATCAAATTTTTTAATGGCAGCCATATTATAATAAAATTGATTTCAAAGTAAAATATATTTTAGTAAAAGATTTTTTGAAATAATTAAACTTCAAAAAGTCTATAATATCTAATTCAGTATATGGAAGAAGACATTCAAAACTATTCAACTGTCATGTTTCGTGGGACACTCTGTATGCGGAGCATGAGGCAGAAGACTTAATTTACCATCGGGATCGGTATATATGAGTTTAAGGTCGTCTTCACAGTCTCATCTTTTTAGTAATCCTGTTTTTTAAACTACATAAACAACGAAAGAAAGTTTAGTTAACAGTTTAATTATGAGTAAATAAATAATTTATTTCTATCAAATAACAATTCAAAGCCAACTTGTGTTACATAAAAAAGATTTAAAATTAAGCTTTATTCAAAGCAATTATTGCTCCGATCTTCAACAAACGTGTGAGCATCCAGAAAAGTAGCTTCTAGTTTTGGATTATACAGAAAGAGAAGTATCCAATAAAAGCTTCTAATCTAGGTAGCATCCAGAAATAAAATCATAAAAGCAACAATTTAAAAAGCTTTTATAAGTCTATGGAGCATCTGACAAAAGTTTCTAATCGTGCAGAAATTGAGTTTTTGTTTTAGGAGCATCCAGTAAAAAAGCATTTAGTCTTGGGAGCAGCCAGCAAAAGAGCTTTGTTCGCCTAATCCCTCAGCACTCAATGCTCCATAGCCGCCATCAACCTTTTATACAATAGTAGGCGATTATATTATTACATTAACGACGACTTTTAATTTTGATTTATATCACACAGCATGGATACACAATACACAGAAACATAGAAGTCAAAGAGAATCTGTTGATTAATAAAACCTCTCTTTGATTACCTGCAAACTTGTAATTTGAAAAAGCTTTTTGAATTAAGTAAATAAAAAAGTCGTTTATTGTATTGATATGACCGCCTACAGCTGTATGTGTTTCTAATATGGGTTCAGCTGATTTGACAGAAATTTTGCACACAGCTTAATGTT